ATTATTCCCTTTACTTCTACTAATGTAATCAATTATTTTAGCATGGTAGTGATTAAAAGCAGCATGTTAAAACAGAGCACAATTTATGCTCTTTCTTCTTAAGCTCCATGCTGGCGATGTTCTTAATTTTTAGTAATTGATAAGAAAAATGATCGACAGCTCTGTACAACCATTGTTAGGACCATTGTTGCAAAGCTTTCCCTGAATCTCACTGTACTCAATAATTACTACCACACCATTAATGTTCTGTTCTTAGGGAATAGTGTGGGAACATCTGGAATGTGTAGTGGCCTCTTAATAGTAGGCATTTCCGAAGAAGACAATTCATATCAATCTGACTTCAGGACTGTAATGGGATGCATATACCTTTAGTCACATTGTTCAGTGTGCTACATAGGAAACTAGTTAAGGAAAATGTGTCCCTGCTGGTTCTGCTGGACCCCTGAATTGTTTTCAATACTATCAACCAGTTTATTCTTCTGGATAACCTCACTGGGATGATAATTGATGGCACTGTTGTATGTTGTCTATGGTTCTTCTAGGAAGGATAGGTTCAGAAGATAGTTTTGTGGGATTCTTACTCAATGGCTTAATTGTTGGCCTTTAGGAATCTTTTATATCATCCGTGGTATTTAATATATCTGTCATTGCTCTGTGAGGGGTTGGAGCTGATAACAAATTTACTTTTTCTTTCTAACCAAATCCGTGTTGAAGTGTCACTAATGATCAGCATGTGTATGAGCAATTTGAAGCTTAATCCAGACAAGGCTGAGGTTTTCCTAGGCATTCAAACAAAAACAATAAAAAAACAAGTCAGAGGAAATGGGCACAGCCTATACTTGTATAGTGCTGGTTCTGGATTCAACCCTCAATCTGGAATCTTTGTTTTCTACTGCCTGATACGGCCAGGGTAACATAATTTTGTTACATTCCATATGGATCAATGTATTACTTATTGTGTGTGGCTTCCTTTGAAAATCAGAAAGTTGTTAGAGACAAAGCTTTTTTTTTTTTTACTTTTTATTGAAATATAGAACTGTGTTCTAACAGCTGAGAAGATATGAATCACCATGTGGTAGTGAATATTGATATTTCCTTTGATATTCATGTGAAGCAAGATAATTGGGCACATGTGTCTGAAAGTGGGACAAACCACAGTTTTTTAAAAAATCTGATTGAGTCTAGAATATTTTTAGTAGCAGTCTGGAATATATTTGTGCTTGTTGTATTGTCACATACAAATATATTATACACAACCAATCAATACATTTATATTGTTTTTGATTAACATTATCCTGGCATTTTCCTTTTAAATTTGTATGGTATTCATTTTAGAAATGGTTTGCCTACACATATTTTATTGCCCTTGAACTCTGTAAAATATATTGTTTTTAAAATAGTACATTCAGGCTTTTTAAAAAATTGTAAAGGGGTCTAGTGATGAAGGCGGAATTGATGAACTCCAGATATTGTACAGCTGAAATCATGTATTCCATTTGTTTTATTTATAGAGGAAGAACTTGTTTCCAAAAACAAATTGGTATACGTAGGAAAATGCTTACTCATCCAAGCTGCAAGAAAGCTACTTCTAGTATACTTTGATATGTCTTTCCAGGGAGCTGGCTGCACTGAAACAAGTAAACAGGTGACTAGAGCAAAGTTGGCAGAAAATGTGGAGTGTGGTGGATTGAACACAGGATAGATGCTAGAGTATTTCTGAGAGCCAACTCTATGGCAACGTGGATAGGAAAAATATTTCTTTTTTGGCACCATTGTAGTGGCAAAGAGCTGGTCGGTCAAGGGTCTTTTAGGTGTTGACCCGCAAAAGGAGAATTGACAGCCCACTGAGGACAACTTGCCCAGGACTTTGCAGTTGAAATAATTCAGATTTGCTTCAGTTGGACGCTATAACTAATACACATCCAGTGCATATAATTTGAAGGCTGCTTGTCCAGTTCTAATGCATAGCTTTTTCTTTGTATAGCCCGTGAATAGGGTAGAGGATTGTTGAGAGGTGAGGCTTTTTGGGGCATATTTTTTTAAAAACCAGGGAGGAAGCAGGCTGAGTGAATAGAGGAAGTGGTTCCAACATGCATAAAGTAGTAATTCATAAAATCATTGTTTAAAAAGTGCTATCATTTCATATTTCTTGCTAGTTTACATATACCAAATTTCATATCATTTTTGAAGTTGTATAGAAAAATTAGTAATTAAATTTTAATAATGTTTTGTCGGAAGGTTTTTACAACCCAAAAAACCTGCAACAACCCTTTAATAATGTTTCCTCTTATGTCTTGGTTATATTCTCTATTCCTAGGAAGACCCGCACTGAACATGTACTTCATCTCACCCATTATTTTCTTTCACACCCCCCCCCCCAAATCCATTTGTTTGAGCAGCTCTTTGACTTAGCAATTAAATCCTCATTGCCAGCTATAGTGTTAAGCATATGATGTCATTTGAATTTTTTTGTCTCATCCATGGTCTTTGCTTACCTGCTCCTATTCCTTTAATATCTGTCAAGAAATCTTGAGAGCAAGGACCAGATTATGGTGCTTCTCTAATTTTATATGTATCAATATGTAACATATTATGATGGTGTGGCATAATATATTTGGTACTGTTTCATTATCCAGGCAGAGGCCGAAAGGTGGCCTAGAAAGAGAAGGATAATCCATTTCTCCCAATTTTCCTGTTACTCCCTCCACCCATGTTGCTGTCATGGAAACAACCCTCGTTTATGAAATGGGAAGTGAGGTGGAGTGGAGAATAGCCAGTGAAAATGGGGGAAATTAATTTCCTCCTTCAAACCCTCCCTTCCCCCATAAAATGGACTTTCCTTCTCTGTCTGGGCCTCCTTTAGGAGTTTGCTCTGATAATGGAATAATGCCATATTTTTTCAATATATTAAAAGACTTTCATGTGCATGCGTACTCGTACACATCTATATAACTAAATCTGTACAGCATATGTTTTGACACGATGTCACCTGAAGTTGAATGTGTCTTATTCTTCATGTAATAGTGTTTTCAAAGAAAAACTTTTATCTTAAACATCATGAGAGTATGTCCTACATTCTAAACTTGGCAAAATAATAAAACTGTTAATGTATTGTCGAAGGCTTTCATGGCTGGAATCACTAGGTTCTTGTGGGTTTTTTCGGGCTATAGAGCCATGTTCTAGAGGCATTTCTCCTGACGTTTCGCCTGCATCTATGGCAAGCATCCTCAGAGGTAGCGAGGTCTGTTGGAAGTAGGAAAACTGGGTTTATATATCTGTGGAATGGCTGGGGTGGGGCAAGGAGCTCTTCCCTGCTGCAGTTAGGTGTGAATGTTTAGCTGATCACCTTCATTAGCATTTGAAGGCCTGCCTGAGCCTGAGAAAATCTGTTGCTGGGAGGTGTTAATCTGTGCCTGGTTTTTTCCTCTCTGTTGTTTAGCTGTTATAATTTTAGAGTTTTTTAATACTGGTAGCCAGATTTTGTTCATTTTCATGGTCTCTTCCTTTCTGTTGAAATTGTCCACATGCTTGTGGATTTCAATGGCTTCTCTGTGTATCAGACCTCGCTACCTCTGAGGATGCTTGCCATAGATGCAGGCGAAACGTCAGGAGAAATGCCTCTAGAACATGGCTCTATAGCCCGAAAAAACCCACAAGAACCTAAAACTGTTAATGTATAAAGTTCCTCACAATTGAAGAAAATTTCAGCTACAGCTAATAATAGTGGAATGGAATAAAGCATAATGAATTTGGGTGTCAAGGTGGTGCTACTAATTCCTCATTCAAATATCGTCGGTTGAACAAATGATATATAATAATTTGGTGTTATGCATTAAATGGAACATATCAGCATCTTAATATGTATGTGGAATCTTAAAAGATCACTGAGGCTATAACCTCTAAGGAATAAATCACAAATTCTATTCAAGTCATCGTGTTTTTACATGAATACATTACAAATTACAAAATGAAAAGCAGGAAGGCATTTGCAGAGGAGGCATTTCTCAAACACTTGCTATATCTGCTGATTTTCAGCTAAAAATTGACTGAAAATCTCAAATATAAGTCCCTTCCATGTTTGATTTCTGGTTTTTATCAGCATTTTGAGATATGAGGGTAGGTTTTCTATCTAGACTGGTACGCCAGAAGTGGCAGTTGTGCTGTGGGTGATATTTTGTTCCATTTATTTCAAAGGTTCAAGCAGCTGAATGCACTCTCCCCATTCCCTGTGTAAAACATACACAGCATCAAAGACAGAAAAAATAAAACAAATTTGAGTAGATGATACACTCTCAAAATAGTACATACCTAGAATTTGAATGTAGAAGTTAACATTCCTAGATAGAGTTTGTCACTGCATACATAAATTATTTGTAACCATAATAAATATCCTTTTACTTTTTGTCATAGCATTTGATTCAGTAACACAATTAATGGATGAATTTGTTGATTTTTTTTCAGCCAACTAATCTCCTGTAGTCCCTTACATAACCTGTGTTGGCTTCTTTTCAGATTCACTGAGTTTGAAATTTACAGCTGGAGTTTGGGTAGACATTTTGGATTCTGTTCCCAACATCAGCAGGTTGTTGTATTCAAAGACACATTATATAAAGTTTAATTCATTAAGCTTGGTTGATAAGTTAACCACTTGTACAGCTTTTGGTTTAATAAATAGTTGTACAAAATGCCATTTAAGGTCATGATTCAACTTTCTTCGGAAAATAAGATCAAACATCCTGGAAGAGATCTAGCAAAATATTTCAGTCATAGGAAAATAAGCGCATAGTAGAGGACCATACTTGAAAGGTAGACAGGAAATAAAATTAACGCTGGAAAATAAAAATGTACAGGATTTGCCATATTTTATTTTTACTATAGATTTTTCTGCAGCAATTCTAGGAATGTTAATTACTTCACATTAACTTTCATTTTTTTCTGTTTTGGCAGTATCTTTGGAGCTTTAGAATCTTATATGTGTGTGTATTTATTTTTTTTTGAAGGAATTCAAAATGTACTGAGTTTGTTCTGTGCAGTCCTCACGGAAAACAAGGTCCTCTTCCATTCTGCAAGTTTCCAAAGGCTGAGTGATGCGTGTAGAGCACTAGAATCTTTAATGTTTCCTCTCAAATATAGGTGAGCATTATTGCATTGTTTTTATTTCGAGGAGCACCAAATTAATAATATGAACCATTGGTGTGGGGGGGGGGGGGAGTGTTTCATAGCATGAGGTTGTTAAAAATCAGACACATTAACCAAGGTTTTACAAAATAAAACTATTTGTTATATACCTTTATCACTTTTTATAATTTGAAGAACATTCAAAGAGTATATACTTCCTGGTCTGTGACTACATGTTATCTCAGGCATGGGCAAACTTTTTTGCCCTGGGGCCAACTTGTGGGCCCACTTTCAAGTGCTGGGCAGGGAGGGTGTGTAGGTGGAGCCAGAAGAGGGGGTTGTGGGCCGGAAGGGGCGGGACTGGAAAGGGTAGGGTCAGGGCAGAAGGGCGGGGCTGGGGCTTTGGAGGGACTGCGGCCAGGAGAAGGAAGGGGTGGGTCTGTCTCCAGAGAGACAAACATGAAGCTAACACTTGACAGCAGCACGTTTGTGCTAGCTCTTTGGGGCCCTAGCTCTTTGGGGCCCCAGGAAGGCAATAGCTCACCTTCCTCGGGCCCAGAGGAGGGAGAGATACATGCCGCTGTCAAGCACATTTGGCAATGGCATGTTTGTCTCCCCAGCACTTCTGGGAAAACAGTGGTACACCTTCCCCTGGGCCCAGAAGAGAGGAACACGCCGCTGCCGAGTGCTCTCCAGAAAGCTCTTGGCAGAGGTGTGTCTCTGCCTTGGCCCTCCTCTCAGCCTGGGGACGTGGTGGGCCACTGCATCATACTGAAAGTAAGGCCGAAGTGGAAAACAACAACACTAACAAAGAGTTGGAAGAGATCCCTTGGGCCATCTAGTCCAACCCCCTTCTGCTTAATGCAGGAAAAGCACAACCAAACCACCCCTGGCAGATGGCCACCCAACCTCAACAATAATAATAACAATAACAACAACAACAATATTAATACTAATAAAGAGTTGAAAGCTACCCCTTGGGCCATCTAGTCCAACCCCTTTCTGCCTTCATGCAGGAAAAGCACAACCGAAGCACCCCTGGCAGATGGCCACCCAGTCTCAACAACAACAATAACAACAATACTAATAAAGAGTTGGAAGAGACCTCTTGGGCCATCTAGTCCAACCCCCTTCTGCCCTCATGCAACAACAACAACACTAAACAACAACAATAACACTAAAGAGAGTTGAAAGAGACCCCTAGGGCCATCTAGTCCCTTCCGTCCTCCCCCCTCGCACCGCATGAGTCTTCCTCAGTGGCAGCGGCAGCAGAGGAGGAGGAAGCCACGGCGACAGGGTTTTCCATGGCCTCGTTCTCCTCCCTTGGGTCATGTGCGGCGGTGGGAAAGCTGTGCGTGGGGCTCGGAGGAGAGAAAGGTGTGCACCTTTCCCTCCCCTCCAGGCTCGGAGGAGGGAAAGGCGTTCAGGGGGAGGAGGAGGAGAGGTGAGGATCCTGGTGGGAAGGCATGGGGCAAGAGCTCTTCTTTCAGCCCCATGCCTGCCTGCCGGGACCCTCACCCGATATAAGCCAAGGGGAGGTTTTTCAGCCTCAAAAAGGGCTGAAAAACTCAGCTTATAGTCGAGTATATATGGTATTTAGCCTTCAAAATAATATGCACATATGTGTATTTTTGTAGACAGGGAAAATATGTGTGTTTTAAGTATACAAAAGATAAAATGTCCAGAACTGTAAATATGCTTCAGCTTCTCAGTGCAAATGGTAACAAAATGATAGGAGTGAGTCTGTGAGAAAAGACTAGAAGCAATTCGATGGAAATCTTGGTATTCTACAAGATAAACTGACTACACTTATTTTTGTTTTCACTTTCCCCCCAGTTACCCATATATTCCAATTCTCCCTGCACAGCTTCTTGAAGTTCTCAGTTCACCCACACCTTTTATTATTGGTGTACATTCAATCTTCTGTAATGAGATTCATGAACTTGTAAGTATATTCAACTAGTTGTTATCCATGCTTAAGGTTGAAGTAAAGAGCAATTGTTAAGTATAAAATATTGGTATATAATAATACACATAATAATGATAAGTGAGTAAAGAAAATATCAACAGAAACCTATGTAAAGGATATAGTCAATGTATATATATATGTGTGTGTGTGAATAAAGGCCACAACATGGAAAATGGGAGCACTACTAAAGATATGCGATGGAATGGAAAAGCATCTCTGGACGTAGAAGCAAATATGATTGACAAGCTATTGCAGTACTGATATTCCATTAATTTTGTACTCTTATAAATAAATGTAGAAATGTGAAGATAATACATTCTAAGCATTTACACAGTTAAAACTTGCGCACCAACTGTGCCCATACCTTGGGAAGTCTGACTTGGCCACGGTGGTCCACGCTCTTGTTACATCCCGAATAGATTACTGGGGTTGCCTATGGAGTTTGTTCAGAAGCTTCAAATGGTCCAACGGGCAGTAGCCAGGTTACTAACAGGACCATGGCTCCATTGGCTGCCAATTTGCTACCGAGCACAATTGAAAGTGCTGGCTTTAGCTTATAAAGCCCTAAACGATTCCGGCCCAGCTTACCTGTCCAAACGTATCTCCTCCTATGAACCACTGAGGAGTTTAAGATCGTCTGGGGAGGCCCTGCTCTCAATCCCGCCTGCCTCACAAGTGCGATTGGCAGAGACGAAGGACAGGGCCTTCTCAGTGGTGGCTATGGAACTCCCTTCCTAGGGATATTAGATCGGCCCTCTCCCTCCAGATTTTCTGAAGAAAAGTAAAGACCTGGCTCTTTGAGCAAGCTTTTGAGAATGCAGCGAATAGATAACACGAAACTATGAACAATGAACATGGAATGGCCAGACAATGTTACTGGATAACGTTTTTAACAGGATGACACAGATTATTATATGTTTTAACAGTTTTTATTTATTTTTATATTGTAATGTTGATTGTTTTTAATGGCACTTTTATGAATGCCTGGCATCGAATTGTGCCAATCTGTAACCCGCCTTGAGTCGCTATATGGCTGAGAAAGGCGGGCTATAAATATCATAAATAAATAAATAAATAAATAAATTTCTTTATTATTTATTACTTACATATTACTTGCAATTGAATTTCCTCAAAAAATTGTCATCTGCTACGTTTTTCAGTAATCACCAGGTGTATTCCCAAATGGCCGTTCCAAAATTCTTGTTGTATTTGCATTCATACTGTCAAATGTTATATAAATGGTTCATTTTCCCTATATCTTTCAGTTGGATGTAATCATAGCAGACCTGGATGGCGGTACAATAAAAATTCCTGAATGCATTCATTTGTCTCCTCTCCCAGAACCACTTCTTCATCAGACTCAGACTGCTTTGTCTCTTGTAAGTCTGATTGCTTTATCATAGATAGTTACCAATAAAGAATGTAAAGCTTTTGTCTGTTTTAATAAGAACTATTCGTATTACTGGAAATACCTTTCCATCACCAAAATCCATTTAATTTAAAAATAACATTTTATCCCTGTCATTTGTAAGAAAGAGAGGTTTTGGAGGCATTTAGAATCATATTGCTTTTATTTGTTTTCTTAGGTTTTACATCAGTAGAAGATAGTGTTAAACAAAAATAGACAAAATATTTTCCATCTGTAGCCAAGCAAATATAAATCAAAGCATAAATGTAAGCAAAATAAAACTCACCTCTGTTTTCCATGAAGTTGTAAAGGAAACTTCTGTTTGTTATATACCTTTTGTCATACAATTTTGACTGTGTTTGCCCTGCTTTCCCTTTCCAGTCTTATTAGACAGATACTTGTTTTATTGTCAAGTTAGCATCCCATGTTAGCTGGGCATTATTTTGCATCTTTGTGTCTGTTTCTTTGAAGTCAGAGTACTGTCTTTTTATTATCATAAAAGGAATCAATAAGGGGCTAAACAAAGTCCAAACATTTGCCACTTTGATTTGAAATATGTTAACTTGTAGTTCAGAAAAATAAACCTAAAATAATATTGCCAACAGAGTGATTTGAAATGTTCTTCTTGAAATTGTAGGTTTTACATCCAGATTTAGAAACAGCAGATTATGCATTTCCTCCTCCTCGAACAGCTTTGTCACAATCCAAAATGTTGGTAAGACATATTAGTTTGAACTTAATAAATAGGGAAAATGTTTTCCCTTACACTTCAGTGAATGAATCCATATTTCTGATCTCTTCTCTGTGTTCTTTCCAAATATTTTAATGCTAAACTTTCTTTGAATGTTTTTAATGGCAAAAATGTGATTAAGTTGAAACTTCATGAGAGTGTAATGTGCCACATCATATTTACAATTTTGCAGACTCCTTAAGACAGTGAATGATCTGGACCATGCCAAACTGAGTCATTAATTTTTATGGAACATGTCCCTGAGTACCGTATATTCCGGCATATACGACGACTGGGCGTATAAGACGACCCCCAACTTTTCCAGTTAAAATATGGAGTTTGGGATATACTCACCGTATAAGACCACCCCTCTTCTGCCTCCTCCTCCCACCTCGTGAAGGGAGGGAGAGAAGGAGGGAGATCCAAACGAAAGAATTAAAAACATCTAAAAACAATTACATCGATTTATTAAAATCACACAATCCATAACTGTAATTGTGCTACTCTTATGAATCGTAATGTAAAATTTGATATGCAGGATTTCATTGTTACAAATGGAACATAATTAAAGCATAGTGATTAATCAGAAAAACAATGTTTGGGGGACGATAGACAAGAGATGATCGGATTTGCAGTACCTTGAACCGATTCAGCAATTACTTCTACAGACCAATGAGACCTTCATGTATTACAGACCTGGACCAAATTGGCACACAGAACCCCCATGATCAACAGAAAATACTGGAGGGGTTTGGGAAGAATTAATGGGAGATGTAGTTCACACATCCAGTAAGCACTTTGAACCCAAACAACTATTGATCTGGACCAAACTGGGCATGAACACTCAATATGCCCAAATTTGAACATTGGGGAAAACAGACCTTGGAAATTGGGAGCTGCTTGGGATTTATAGACTAAACTTGGGATTTATGGACTAAACTTGGCACAGAGAACTTCCATGAACAAAAAGAGAATACTGAGATGTCTGGGGAAAACAGACCTTGGAAATTGGGAGCTGCCTAGGATTTATAGTTCTCTGGAATCAAAGAGCATTCTGAAACCCCAACAGCCATGGAATTGGAATAAACTTGGCACAGAGAACACCCATGAATAACAAGAGAATACTGGGGGGTCTGGGGAAAACAGACCTTGGAAATTGGGAGCTGCCTGGGATTTATAGTTCTCTGCAGTCAAAGAGCATTCTGAAACCCCAACAGCCATGGAATTGGACTAAACTTGGCACAGAGAACTCCCACGAATAACAAGAGAATACTGGGGGCTCTGGGGAAAACAGACCTTGGAAATTGGGAGCTGCTTGGGATTTATAGTTCTCTGCAATCAAAGAGCATTCTCAAACCCCAACAGCCATGGAATTGGACTAAACTTGGCACAGAGAACACTCATGAACAAAGAGAATACTGGGGGGTCTGGGGAAAACAGACCTTGGAAATTGGGAGCTGCCTGGGATTTATAGTTCTCTGCAATCAAAGAGCATTCTGAAACACCAACAGACATGGAATTGGACTAAACTTGGCACAGAGAACTCTCATGAATAACAAGAGAATACTGGGGGCTCTGGGGAAAACAGACCTTGAAAATTGGGAGCTGCCTGGGATTTATAGTTCTCTGCAATCAAAGAGCATTCTGAAACCCCAACAGACATGGAATTGGACTAAACTTGGCACAGAGAACTCCCATGAATAACAAGAGAATGCTGGGGGCTCTGGGGAAAACAGACCTTGGAAATTGGGAGCTGCTTGGGATTTATAGTTCTCTGCAATCAAAGAGCATTCTGAAACCCCAACAGCCATGGAATTGGACTAAACTTGGCACAGAGAACACTCATGAACAAAGAGAATACTGGGGGGTCTGGGGGAAACAGACCTTGGAAATTGGGAGCTGCCTGGGATTTATAGTTCTCTGCAATCAAAGAGCATTCTGAAACCCCAACAGCCATGGAATTGGACTAAACTTGGCACAGAGAACTCCCATGAATAACAAGAGAATACTGGGGGCTCTGGGGAAAACAGACCTTGGAAATTGGGAGCTGCTTGGGATTTATAGTTCTCTGCAATCAAAGAGCATTCTCAAACCCCAACAGCCATGGAATTGGACTAAACTTGGCACAGAGAACACCCATGAACAAAGAGAATACTGGGGGGTCTGGGGAAAACAGACCTTGGAAATTGGGAGCTGCCTGGGATTTATAGTTCTCTGCAATCAAAGAGCATTCTGAAACCCCAACAGCCATGGAATTGGACTAAACTTGGCACAGAGAACACTCATGAACAAAGAGAATACTGGGGGGTCTGGGGAAAACAGACCTTGGAAATTGGGAGCTGCTTGGGATTTATAGTTCTCTGCAATCAAAGAGCATTCTGAAACCCCAACAGCCATGGAATTGGACTAAACTTGGCACAGAGAACTCCCATGAATAACAAGAGAATACTGGGGGCTCTGGGGAAAACAGACCTTGGAAATTGGGAGCTGCTTGGGATTTATAGTTCTCTGCAATCAAAGAGCATTCTCAAACCCCAACAGCCATGGAATTGGACTAAACTTGGCACAGAGAACACTCATGAACAAAGAGAATACTGGGGGGTCTGGGGAAAACAGACCTTGGAAATTGGGAGCTGCCTGGGATTTATAGTTCTCTGCAATCAAAGAGCATTCTGAAACCTCAACAGCCATGAAATTGGACTAAACTTGACACAGAGAACTCCCATGAACAAAAAGAGAATACTGGGGGGTCTGGGGAAAACAGACCTTGGAAATTGGGAGCTGCTTGGGATTTATAGTTCTCTGCAATCAAAGAGCATTCTGAAACCCTAACAGCCATGGAATTGGACTAAACTTGGCACAGAGAACACCCATGAATAACAAGAGAATACTGGGGGGTCTGGGGAAAACAGACCTTGGAAATTGGGAGCTGCTTGGGATTTATAGTTCTCTGCAATCAAAGGGCATTCTGAAACCCCAACAGCCATGGAATTGGACTAAACTTGGCACAGAAAACAAAGAGAATACTGGGGGCTCTGGGGAAAACAGATTATTGAACATAGGAGAGAATACTGGGGGGAGGGTATGGGTGCGTTGCCTGATCATGGGGATGAACAGACACTTGATGATTTAGCATGTGACGTCCCGGGACAATTGGGGGAGTCTTTGCCTGTGGATTGTTAGGAGCCTACAAGATACTTGTGCGCACTTAGTAGTAGGACCAAAATCATTTAATCTGGGAGCTGCTATATGGCGATTTCTATATTAGGTTCTCACTTGTGTAAAATTCTTGGACGGGCTGCAATTCAAAGAGCTTCGTCAAGAAAGGCCCGCAAGCAGTGAGTGTGCCATAGGATATTGGTACTAAACTTGTGCACTCAAACGTAGGAAAGCAACCCTACATTCGATACTTGGATGAACCCGACAAAGAGAATACTGGGGGGAGGTTCTTAGGGCTCAACTCGATGACATGGCAATGTGTGGATGCTGGTGACTAGATTCTCCTATTACCTTGGCCCTGGGGATTTAGTTGATTTTCTTCCAGTCATATCAAGTAAATTGGATTTGGCACGAAGCCAGTCAAGAGCATTCTAATACTGTTGTTCCTTTGGTATCTGGTCTTTTCCCGCATGGTCTTGGAGAAGATTGCGTTTTCTTTGGTTTTGCTTTGGCGTTTCGAGTGTCTCACCCGTATAGTGTATATCGTCCTTACGCATGTTTACTTTTTTCTAGCTTCTGGAGAGGTGAGTCTTGAATTCGGGTTCAATTTAAGTGTGATCGCTCAGCTTTTTTCTAATACGACTTTGCTGCGGTTCAAAGAGCATATCCTTTGATTCAAATTAAGACCGCCACGAAGTAAGTCCCATAATAGCAACATTGGACTAAACTTGTCACATACGTAGTCCCTACTCATAACGCAAAGTATAATTCTTGTTTTCTATCCTGTGGTAAAAAACTATACCTTGCCCCTTGTAACATTTGTGACGTGACGAACTGGCCTAGAATTGGATTTCTCGTTTGCTAGACTTCGGGCTCTTGCTGTCAATCTTCACCGACGCTATTTCGTGATACTGCGCTCCACAACCCCAACCTCACGATTGTATAGTTTTGGCTACAGCATACCTTGGCGACGATGTAATCTCCCGTGTAATTGATAGACCACTTCAATATGGGGGTGCTCAATGGTGGCAAACCATGGGTACGCTTAGCGCCGCTGGTACATTGCCGGGATGCGTTTGTGCTATTGAGTTATATGTTCTCTCGTATTATTCTTTTGTGTGAAGTTCCAGTAGTCTCGCGTCGCATTCTGGCCAAACCCGCCACCTAGGCTTACGTAAGAACGTTCCATTGGGACTTTTGGACTAGCACAACTTGGCACAGAGAACACCCATGAATAACAAGAGAATACTGGGGGGTCTGGGGAAAACAGACCTTGGAAATTGGGAGCTGCCTGGGATTTATAGTTCTCTGCAATCAAAGAGCATTCTGAAACCCCAACAGCCATGGAATTGGACTAAACTTGGCACAGAGAACACTCATGAACAAAGAGAATACTGGGGGGTCTGGGGAAAACAGACCTTGGAAATTGGGAGCTGCCTGGGATTTATAGTTCTCTGCAATCAAAGAGCATTCTGAAACCCCAACAGCCATGGAATTGGACTAAACTTGGCACAGAGAACTCCCATGAATAACAAGAGAATACTGGGGGCTCTGGGGAAAACAGACCTTGGAAATTGGGAGCTGCTTGGGATTTATAGTTCTCTGCAATCAAAGAGCATTCTCAAACCCCAACAGCCATGGAATTGGACTAAACTTGGCACAGAGAACACTCATGAACAAAGAGAATACTGGGGGGTCTGGGGAAAACAGACCTTGGAAATTGGGAGCTGCCTGGGATTTATAGTTCTCTGCAATCAAAGAGCATTCTGAAACCCCAACAGCCATGGAATTGGACTAAACTTGGCACAGAGAACTCCCATGAATAACAAGAGAATACTGGGGGCTCTGGGGAAAACAGACCTTGGAAATTGGGAGCTGCTTGGGATTTATAGTTCTCTGCAATCAAAGAGCATTCTCAAACCCCAACAGCCATGGAATTGGACTAAACTTGGCACAGAGAACACTCATGAACAAAGAGAATACTGGGGGGTCTGGGGAAAACAGACCTTGGAAATTGGGAGCTGCCTAGGATTTATAGTTCTCTGCAATCAAAGAGCATTCTGAAACCCCAACAGCCATGGAATTGGACTAAACTTGGCACAGAGAACACTCATGAACAAAGAGAATACTGGGGGGTCTGGGGAAAACAGACCTTGGAAATTGGGAGCCTGCATTTTCCTTCCTGCCACAGCTATCTCCTGGGAGGCGCCTGCAAACGCTGCTGCAACTCAGGGGGCGTCTGCAGCACGGAGGCTTCTCCATTCTTCTCCGCAGGCCTGGGGATGGCTCTCCTCCGCTCCTGGGCCCGCCTACAGGAGCGGCTGCAGCCCAGCAGCTGCTCCACGGAGGATGATGCCAGGAAGGTGTGAGGCTGAAAGAAGGGCTTCTTTCAGCCGCACCCCTTCTTGCTAGGACCCTCAACTCTCTGCATAGCAACCCAGCTGTCTTTTCCTCCTCTTTTATTGCACCTTTCTTTCCTCTGCGCTTTCTGGCTGCACACCTTTCTCTCCTTCTCCCTTGCCCCATACACATTTATTTTCTTCTTCCTCGCCCCGTGTGCACTTTTTTCTCCCTCTCTCTTGCCATGTGCGTGCCCTTTTCTCCTCCCTCGACCCACGTTCACCTTTCTTCTCCCTCACCCTGCGTGTACCTTTTTTCCCTTATCCCTCACCTCGCGTGTGCCTCTCCCTCGCCCCATGTGTGCCTTTTTTCCTTCTCCCTCACCCTCTGCGTGCCTTTCTCTCCTTCTCTCTCATCTTGTGCGTGCTTTTCCTTTTTTCTCCCTCACTCCGTGGGCACCTTTCTTTCCTTCCCCCTTTCTCTGCATACACTTTATCTTCCTCTCTCCCTCTCTTGCCAGAGCGACTTAGCTGGGTTGCTCTGCCGAGAGAGAGCGGAGGAAAGGCCTCCTCTCCCACTTTTCCAGGATCCATTTGCAGGCAGGGGAGGACTTCCATCAGCCTCCGTCAAGCTGCTGCTGGGTTGCAGCTGCTCCTCTAGGCCTGCTCACACAGTGGCAGGTTGGCAGGGTGGAGGAGAGGTGTCCTGGAACAGCAGTGGCCTAACAACCAGCAACACCCCGGTGGAGGTGTTGAGAGGTAGGACGCCGCTGCCTCCCTCGCTCCAAGAAGGCATTCGATTATTGCTGGGTTGGGAAAGGGCTGCCGCTAGGCCGCTGCTGTCCCTGCGGGCTTGGAGGGAAGTTCTCTTCCATCTTCGCCAATCTGTACCCGGCGTATAACACGACCCCCAACTTTAAAAAAAAAATTCCAGGGTTCAAAAGTCGCCTAAAACGCCGGAATATACGGTAGCTGAAATGCTTGATTCTGTGCTGCGTTAGCAGAGCAGAACAGAGCCGTAGTTACAGCAAGACTCAAGATCAGTCATACAAATTTTTGCAGCCTTATAACTCTTTGCTAGTGTTGGCAGTACTACAGCTGAAGGAAATCACATACATCTTTCTGAAAAAAAGAAGAAACAAATTTGCATATGCTATTTTATGTATTCATGCAAATAATTACTATAATTGTAATTGAAATAATTACTATAATTGTAATTGAAATAATTACTATAATTGTAATTGAAGTAAAATATCTTGTCCCATTAGGTGAAAAACTGTAGCTAGGTGACCTGTGTGCCTTCTCAGTCTGCTGCCTATGTGTTTAGAAGCCACAGTACTCTTTTTTTTTCTTTTACCTGCTGCTTGAATGAGCAGCCCTTCAAATACAGAATGCCTTCAAACTGAGGCCTGTTCTTTAAAAAGTAGGACATGAAATAACTGTATAACTCCTAGGTCTGAAAGCTGATGTTGACGACACAACTGAGTTTGATTCCTTTGTACTGAAGTAATTTCAGTCACAGCTCCGACATGCCTTATATACCCCACTTTTGCAAATCTAGTAGAAAAAGGTGGAGGTGGCATAGAGATTGTATTGCTGGCCTTTCCCCCCTAAGTTTTATCAAAAAAGCAATAACAAAAAGTAACTAAAAACCCTTGCTATAAGTTCATGAAAATTCCAGGCAAATATGAAGTTTATGATGTTGCAAGACTTCATGTGAATTTTTAGCTGATACCCTGTAAGCTTGGATCCCATCCTGGGAGAATTTTTTAAAAAATTAAATGAAGTAATCATGACTGAAGTGTTATGATGGGCATGATTTCTGGCCATTGTGAGACTTTTTCCCAGGACTATAGCCACTTGGCCAAGTCTGAGAATGTTGGTAGCAACCTCCCTCTTGGCACAATATGCCCTAATCTGTGGTGGCAGCAGTGATGGGGTTTTGGATTAAATTTGAGAAATTAGAATTATTCATAAAAAATAAATCTTTAACTTTTCAATACTTACCCCAAATGAATAAGATTCACTTCTGAAAACGTTATCTTCCATGATTATTTCCACCTGTGTCTATTATTACTACTAGTAGTATTAATATTATTATAAGTATTTAAATTAATATGAAATACATTTATATTTTGCTTTTAATTCAAAATCCAGTTCTCAAGAAATTGTACGCAAAAGGAAAAATATTTCTCTGAACATTTCCATCTAACTTATCTTTTAAAATGTCACTCAGTTTGCTTATCGTTCTTAGGATAAAGAGGTGAGAGGAGTCTTCCTGAGGCTTTTTGCCCAGCTTTTTCAAGGATATAGATCTTGTCTTCAACTAATCAGGATTCATGCAGAACCTGTCATAAATTTCCACAAGGTAAAAGCAAAGCTGAAGTTATTACTTTTTATGTTTTTAAAAGAATAACATATATACAATCTGATATTGCTTAGAGCAATAATGCTACGTACATTGTCATTATGCAGGTGATAATTGGTTTAAATTTTTTAGAGGGGACTGTTGTATTTGCTTTAGCTTACATGTTTTTTCTCTGCTTCCTTTTCTTCACAATAGCATGCCACTATTGACAAATAATTTGCAACATTTTCAATTAAGAAAGTGGAAATTCTGCAAATTGAAATCAGGACTGAAGAATTTGCTGTTATCATCATATTTTCCTTAAAGTAGACTTCCTACTCATGTTAATAGCCCTCATTCATCATCCAGTGGATAATAGTGTGCTATTGGCAAAGACTAGGAGTAAATAGTGTACACCATGTTAGAAGTTAATTCGCAATACAATGAATAGTTTTATAAAATAATCCAGATGTTTCATTCAAGTTAGCCAAAATGTGTTCCATGTGGAAGAATAAACAAAGGTTAGGAGTTTCTATTTGACCATTGGGGGAAAGTGGTTCTGACCTCAGCTAGGCTTAAGGGTGAAAGAAAAAATTCAACTGTCAAATTGTTTTTGGACAGAAAAAATTCTTGGCCTTCCAACTGAAGTCCATTTCATATGCCATATTCATTTGTTTCATGTCAAGATCTGAAACCATACAGGAAAATGTAAAAAGAAGGCACAAATATAAGAGGGCTAAAAATGCAAATGACACTGTATGGTAATAGACTGAGACATCCAATTGAAAACTTAAATATTTATAACTTGATATTGGTTAGGTTTTTTTTTTGCCTCACAGCTATTAAATAAATATAGTATGTAATTATTTTGCATCTTACCTTACATAATTTTTGTTTGCTGAAAGAAAACAGACTTCTGAAAGCATTCCGAATATATTTGGAATTCACAAGTGTGGAATGGTTTCTGTTTACAATAACTTGATGTTATGGTACTTGCTTTTATTAAAAGAAGTGGATACTCATTCTTTCCCTTTCTATTTCACATTCTATTTTATCCATTCTTTTTTACTTTTTGAGACTTGCTGGTGTTGATAGGAAAAAATATATATTTCACTAGCTTAGATTTACTTCCTTTTGTAGGCAGCCTTCCTGGGCCAGCGGGGTCTGATTGAAAATGATTTCCTTACCAAAGTTCTGAATGGAATGGCATTTGCTGGTTTTGTGTCAGAGAGAGGCCCTCCATACCGATCCTGTGATCTCTTTGATGAGGTAGAATGACTTATTTATTACACACATATTTGTGTACTTATATTTCTGTCACTGTTTTCTGTTAAAAATTAAAGCTGCTATGCAGACTATTATTGTGAAATATCTTTACTATTAATTATCAAGAGAATGAATTAAAACTGAAGCACCTATTCAGAATAGACAAAACTTTTGTATTTAATTGATTTATTAAAAACATAGAGAATTATTGTGCTAAAACAGTGGTTCCCAGCCTTTTGTGGACCAGAGACCATTTTGACCAGGGACCACTCTCCAACATTAGTACCAAAAGGGTTATGAATTGTTTAGTTGTTTTTTTTTTGTCAACTTTAGATTTGGTTTGGTTATCTGGGGTGCTGATTTAGAAAATTGCATTGGATAGACCACATCAGCTTTAGTTTCTGATACAGAACATATGCCACCATCTGCTCGCCCACAGAAAACCATATTTAATCAGCCTCGGCACTATAAGATGGTTTCATGAGACCAGACGCTCTCATTGCAATGGGGTAGTAACGGTGAGGCTGCAGACCATCTTTTAGTTCTTGCGGACCACTAGTGGTCCATAGACCACAAGTTGGGAACCACTGTGCTAAAAGAATCAACTTAAAAGATTAATACAATGTAATGATTTAGAAAACAAAAATGAAGAATTGGACACAATATGTATGCATGAACAAGAAAAATAGCACTGCATATTATAGATTTCTTTAAATGCTTTCAAAATATTTCAGTATAATTGCTCTTTAAAAATCCAGCAGATGTTTCTGTATGACAGTATGGGAACTTGTTAAACTGAGTAGCAAAAGCAGCTTAGACAAACATTGTAAAAATATTATGCCTTTCATAAGTGATTTTACAGGTGCTATAAAATGTATGTATTTTCTATTTTATTACTCCTGGATTTGTTGTTTCCTTTCTCAATGTGCAGTACCACAGACATTAAAACTAATAAACTTTGTCGTGCTTTGGCTATAATATTAATAATTCAAAACAGACATTGTAAAGAACTTAGCATATCTAATGGGCTATTTTGTGACAAATTTCATAATCCTTCGGAAGATGACACTAGATAGAGATGGGGGTTCAGTCTGCACTTAATTAGAGAGCTTAGTTCCACTCAAAGTTGTTACCAGAAAAAGAAGAAAGAAACAAGGGCTCCTGAATATGTATATTAATATGTATATTAATACATTCACGGAAATTCAATTTATTACGCATTTTATCATTGGGAAAGTTACTTTGTTTTATTTCATTTTCTTTTGTAGTTGGTAGCATTTGAGGTAGAGAGAATTAAATCAGAAGAAAGCAATTCATCAAAAATGTTAAAGCATGTCAGAGAGCTTGCAGAGCAACTGTTCAAAAATGTAAGTATAATGCATTCATGAACTATGATGTGACTGAGTAAGTTTTCACTAAAGTTAAAGATATTGAAATGAAATATTATTAGTTTGCAGTGTATATTAAGAATCTTTAAAGTTACTTCACTGCAAAGCTTAGACCAAGGTATTGTTATTATTTTGGTTCAGATTTAAACTGTGTGAAGTTTGCAGCAGACAAATCAAGAGGAACTGTGGATCCTGAAGCAAAGTCAAAACTTAAGTGTTATAGTTGCAGAATTATAATAAGAGATAAAATGTTGACATCCGTTCACATAATATCTGACAACAAAAATGATAACCAGCCTGTAAATCATTTGAACCTTAAAATCTCAGCTATGAAGATTATCTTTCAAATGAAAGATGATCTACTTAGAAAGCCGAGTTCTGAATCTAGTATTGATGTTGCAGTGCTGGTCATAATTTCAAGCCACATCATGTTTGTATTTGTTATATAATAATTATACTCTTACTGAAGCAGGTTATAAAAACATGGAATGGGGTGGAGGCTGAAGGTGATGGCAGTGATTACAGGGATCAACTGAATGGAAAGATTTTTTGTATAACAAGATGAGCAATACAAAAATATGTGCACATTACTGTATACACTAGACTATAAGCTGAGCTTTTCAGCACAATGTTCAGGCTGAAAAAGCCCCTCTCGGCTTATACTCAAGTGAGGGTTTGATCCGTCCTTGTCCTCCTCCCTTCCATTCCCCATCGCTCATTTCTCCTGCATGAGAACACCTGTTTTCCCAAATATGCGCAGAGAGGGAGCAGCAGGCATCCCCTCTTGGCTTCTCTCCCTCCACCTTCATCGGATTGAAGTGTTGGCTGAATGTGCTCTCTCTCTCTCTCTTTTCCTTTTCAGCTATGAGCTGTAGCCTTGTGAGATTTGGAAGCCAGCTAAGGGGGTTCCTGGTTGATGGAACATGCCTGAGAATGAGGAGGGGCGCAAAGGCAGTTGTGGAGGGCCCACGGGGGGGGGGGGGGGGGGGGGGGGGGGCCACCACCAAAGAAGGGGTGGAGAGGGAGAGAGGGAAATGGTGGGAGAGAGCGAGTGGGGAGGAGGGTGCATCTACCTCCCTCTTCCACCCTCTGCCTTCTTTGCCATTCTCTCCATGGGACAAGGAGACAATAGCTGGAGGGAGGTGGCTTAAGAGCTCCAGCCTCAGACCAGCCCTTTGGGGCTCCTGTTTTTCTCAATCTTCTCCTCATCCTTTACTTTCTCCTTCTTCCTTTTCTGTTCTTTGTCTTTCACTTCCTTTACTTCTCCTTCCTTTTCAATTCTTCCTCCTTTCTCCTCTTATTAATTAATTTATTTATTTCAGGCATTTCTATTTCATCCTTCTGACCTCCGAAGAGGGATTCAGGATGGCTCATTATTTATTTATTTATTTTGAACATTTATATTCCGCCCTTCTCATCCCAAAGAGGACTCATGGCAGAGCACAGCATGTATGGCAAACATTCAATGCTGGGACATAATATCATTAGATGCATACATAAACATTAAAAACATTTGTCTCAGTACACTCTTAAAAACTGTCTTGATTATCTGCGTCTAATCTAATTGGCCTGGTAAAGTATCGCTGTTTTCTTGCACTGTCCCGAAAGCTTGGTCTCACAGTCAAGATTTTACCATCCTTGTAAAGGACAGGAGGGAGGGGGCCGATCTGATCTCACTGGGAAAGGAGTTCCATAGCCGAGGAGCAATCACCAAGAAGGCCATCTCTCTTGTCCCCACCAATCGCGCCTGTGACAATCAGTCAGCAGTCAGTCATTAGATGACAAAAAACAATACATTAAAACACACAAAACAATTGTAAGTATTACATTTAAAAACAGTTTGCCAGTTCAAAACATCCAGATTAGTCCATTGCGGTCTTATCTTTCCTCTTCTGATTTCTCTTCCTTCTTCTCTTCGCTTTCACTTTTCTCTTCTTTTCCTTCTCCCTCTTCCTCTTTTGTGTTGCCTGTGCTGTCCTGGGCACAAGGCAGGAGGGGAGGGGAGCAAAGGCACGCTCGGCGGCACCTTTGCTCTCCTCCTTCCCTCACCTTCCTCTCCATCAGCCACTCTGCTGTCTCCCTTCCCTGCCTGCTTGGCCTGGCCTGGCCTTTCTGTTGTGGATGCAGGAAGAGCCGGAGCGAGTGAGCGAACCTGTGGTGTGTGTGTCCTCTGAGTGATGTGGCAGGGGTGTAGTTTGACATGGTTTGTTATGTGAAGGAGAGAATCAAACTGCCGGAAGAGCCTTGGTACAAACAAAAGAAGTGACAGAGCAGCCTCTGGCCAAAAGGAGGAGAAGGAGAAAGCAAAGTGAGCACGAAAGAAGGAAGGAAAGAGGCAGAGAAACCTTTCATTTTTGAAATTTACTAGTAGCTGCACCATTTCCCACTTTCGGCTTATAAACGAGTCAATACAATTTCCCAGGGTTTTTTTTTTTGGGGGGGGGGGGGTAAAATTAGGGAACTAGGTTATATATGGGTTGGCTTATACTCAAGTATATATGTAATTTTTTTTCCTATTCATCTTAGTTTCCATATGGTTTTCCCCCCGATTCAGTTATTTTTCTCTCTGGCCCTTAATCATAGCTCTCAGATTACAAAAATTTCTAATAAATGAATAATTCAGTCAACATTTGGTTGCTGACAAAATACGTATTTCTCTCTAAATATGTTGGCAAGTAAATCTATATATGTAAAAGTCAAATATGTATGTAAGTTCGTACCACAAAGGCTCTTACAGGACTTGATGAATCAGGCCCAAACCTGTCACATGCCTTTTATGATCCAACTTAAAATAAAATGGGGGCAGGGCTAAAAATCTGACCCTGTTTTGGGGCAAGGCCCCAAAAAGTAAAAATATATGTAGTATTCAGATGCAGCTATAAGGGGCAGAGTGAAAGGATTAGCTTTTGGCCTATAGGTATGTATGTATTGCTCAGATGTAAACATAAGAAGATTAGCTACAGGCAGAAAAAATTGCATTCTCTAGAAAAGCCGAAACATGAGACCAAAAAAAAAAAAAACACCAACCCTGAAAGCCACAGTCGGGATATCGACACCATAAGGAAATAAGCAATTTCATGAAAAATTATTTTTGAAAGGAGTGTGTGTAACTGCACCTTACTCTGAAACTGACAGACTGTGACTTCCAAAACAAGGCTGGATCTGGTACCATTTAGGTGATTCTGCCATAAAAAGGTCCAGTATGTCTTCACCAGTCAAGGAAGCAATCTGTGTATTAAAGCATATTTTAAAAGGGAGGTTGGTGAGAAAAAAATCAACTGAGGCTGAGAGATGCAGAATGGGTATTGCCTGCTAATTCTATTCCCAGTGTTACTAATGCAGACCAAACCCATTCTATTCACTAGATTATTCATTTATTATAGTATTATAATGGTATTTAAGCAGTAAAAACAATGTAATAATTTAAATTAGTTAAATGATCTAGAGCCTAAATGCATATTAAATAATTCTGCAGGTTATCACAGTTTTAAACTAGCTTAAACTATGCACATCAGTTTTGATCAAATGGAGTAGGCCCAAAGGCTTAACAAGATAGTAAGGCACCAACATTTGGCAAAATTTTGTTTCCAACATGAGGTAATTGTTGATGCCAGCCAGGCCTCAAGGAGAGTATATTCCGCAACCATGGGGCCATACCTTCTGAGGCCTGCTATCATGTCATTTCACAGCATATTACTTTCACTGGTGGGAGACAGAGAAGGGGCCCTCTAGCATACCTCACTTCTCAAGTAGGCTCTTATAGAAAGGAGCTCTCTTCAAAAAAAAATTAAGGCCCATCCTTCTGGTCTGAACATAGATACCCTTCACTTTAGTAATGTGCTTCCCCGTAATTGGCCCGGTTGAATATTTCCTCCCTGGTCATGAAGGTAAAGGTTGTAAACATTCCAATGCTAACAGAAAAAGTACAGAAGTGGTATTATTCAGATAATAGTTGAGTTGCCCAGGAATTAATGGAATGATTCATGCAAACAAATACTGGTATAATGAAGTCATAATGCATCATGAACATGTTTGTACAGTAGCTTGTGCAAACAGTTGTTGAAGTGGAATTGAAAGGCTGGATCGAATGCTTGACTGATTGTGATGGAATTTCCTTAAATGGTAGAAGCTTTGTGCGAGCATAATGACACTACCGTGTGCAACTGAGTCATGGAAAGACTGTGAACCCATTCACCCACCTGTTTTATCTACCGCCATTGGTTGAAGGGTTATGGGCTAACTAATCAATGTTATATTAAATTTAATGCGTAGTCATAAAATGTGTCATTCATTTCAATTTCTATCTTTCAAAAACAAACTAATAAAGGTAGCAGGTAAACACATGAAAAATTGATCAAGCTTGTTAGCCAGCTTGGCAGAATATTGTCCATTCTTTTCTTTCACTTATAATTGTCTGCAGTTTTCAGCAACTGTTCTTTTAAATTGAAGAACTAATTTATATAATCTCTTGTGCTGAGATATCCACTTGTTTAATTTATTTCAGTATGAAAATTAAATTTAGGGAGTAATTTAGCTATGATTTTTTGTGCAATATTTTTTTGGTGGGGTGGAACTACAAGTACATATAAATGCATACTAGTCAATTACTTCACACACCACTGCTGTTACATAAAAAAAAGATATCTAACATTAAAAACTAAAAACTTATTTCACCTTGGTTAAAAGGCTCCTCACTTTAAGCCGTCAAAGTGGTATCATCTGCATATCTAAGGTTGTTAATGTTTAGTCCAACAATTTTGACTCCAACCTTGGATTTGTCAAGCCCGCACATCGCATGATTTGTTCTGCGTACAAGCTGAATAGGTAGGATGAAAGTATACAGCCCTGCCATACTCCTTTCCCAATCTTGAACTAATCTGTTGTTCCATGGTCTGTTCTTACTGTTAGTACTTAGTTGTTATTCAGATTCCCCAGGAGACAAAAAACAACAATCCAATGCCATGTCAACAACCAATACAAAATAAACATATGCATTAAAACATAAAATTTAAAAATAAATTTAAAACCATATAGGAATTAAAACACATTGTTAAAACCATATAATCCGAGATCATATTATAGTAATACTGTCATGTGGCTTTTTTCTTTTCTTTTTCTTTCTTTCTTTCTTTCTTTTTGGTCCTTTTACTTTTTATATTGCATGTATTGTCACTAATGTGCACAATGGTGTTTATACTTGTTTATCTTAATTGTTTTTTGAATGAAATGTGTGTCTTATTAAAATAAGGAATTCAACCCAATATTAAGAGTACAACCATTGAAACAAATGGGACTTAGAATAACTCATTATTAAATTAAATCAATTAAATGCTTTTATAAAAAGAATTCTTTTTTGATTTCAGGAGAATCCAAATCCTCACATGGCATTCCAAAAAGTTCCACGGCCAACAGAAGGATCTCATCTGCGAGTTCATGTCCTTCCTTTCCCCAAGATTAATGAAAATCAGGTTCAAGATTTAATCCAGGAAGGTTTAGTTAAGAACCAAAGTGTGCCACCTGCTTCTCGCATAGAAAGAAAATGCGTTGTGCCTGCTGGTCCTCCTGTTGGTATGAGAATCATCCTTATGTTTCATACAGTTAGAACCATTTCACTGTCTTGGACTGATTTTTCCTTACTAGAAAAATATTTTTGAATGTGACAAAAAGTATTTTTTAAAGAAGGTGCCATGTTTTTTACTGACTGAAATAAGTGTGCTGAAATTAATTTAAATAACAGAGCTGGCACTGTCAGTAAATATCATCTGTATTTAGGTGTCTTTGTGCCCTGTATATTGTGATAGAAAACAATAATTTAAATGGAAAAAAGAAATCTGGTCTCTGTATCAAAATGAATATTTTAAAATTCATGTTCTGTTTTTTAATCTATTGTACCCCACTTTCATGTAAGTGTGGCTTATATTGAACCTCCCACCTCATCTTTCCACACTGTATAAGTAATAGTTCTAGCAGACAGGTGGTATCATCCTGTGTAGATGCCTTTTTAAAAACAAATTAATACCCTATAAATATTTATAGTTTTCTCCACTTACGATGTCTCTTAACTCATATAATAGGGGTTTGTGGATGCTCTTCCTATATCTATTCTGCTGGAATAGGTTATAACTCCTTATATATCTGTCTTAGCATCAGTTTTTCTTTAATGCTTAACATTAAAATTGGAAGCATTCTAGTTGCCTCCAGTTATACCCCACTTATCTCTCTCCTGCAGACGAATGGTTGTAATGCCTAAAAAAAATGGCTGTGATTTTTCAGAGAAAAATTAATCAGCAAAGTGCCAGGTTCCTGCTAATGTACATTTCCTGTCAAGTTAATGTGAGTTTTACATTGTGATCTTGGGTTTTTCACAAATGGAAATACACAGTTTTCCCTAGGGAAAATATTAGACCTAAGTAACAGAAGTCCCATTTAAGTAAGCCTACATATCAGGATATTAAATATCACACACACAGCTTTGCTGTAATGATTTCTAGCATCTAATGAGGACAAATGTAGCAAAATCAAAGATAGTCTAGGAGTCATCGTAGGAATGTTTCTAATGTAATGACTCCTCAGTGATGGTATGTTGTTGCTTTAAAAAAAGGAATAAATTGTTTCACATGTGTTTCTGTTTCTTTCTTTGCTAGTTTCCATAGTAGAAAAGTCAAGCTCAGTTTTCAACAGTGCACAAAGGCTGGAAGTTGTTAGAAACTGCATCTCTTTTATATTTGAAAATAAAATTTTGGAGACAGAAAAGGTAATAAAGTTTTTGCTAAACTATTTCAGGAGTATTTCCAAGTTAAACTCATGCAAGCCAAGTGGTTGGCTTCTCTGCCAGTCCTGTCAGATGCTAGTTGCTGTTTTCATATATCCCTTGTCCTTTCCAACTATTAATTGTCTGGCTAAAAGTGAATGAGATGCTAGTTGGGGTGGAGGTGAGGTGTGTATGCAGGTTCCTCTTTAAAATTATGAAAACTGGAATGCCTCTCCCTTTGTCTGCCCCTTTCTATCTATTCTGGGAATAATTCTTCTCCTATCCTAGTAAATGGAAAGTATTAGTATTAGTAGTGCTTTTCAAGGGGTTTTCATTGTACAGACAGAAATCCCAATACATTTTCAGTGTGAATAGTAGCTGTTTGATTGTAAGCAGTGATTAAACCGCACTGAGTCGCCTACGGGCTGAGAGAGTGCGGTATACAAGTGAAGTAAATAAATAAATTTAACTAGTTCCCTGACACACAAATATTAAGAGGCTTGTACCTTATACAAAAGAAAAAGGAAAGGAAATATTCACCCTGACAGCCATTTCAACATCATTTTTAGGACAGCTAGTTATATACTAACCTTTCCAACTACGATTGGGCAACTATTAACCACAATAGATAGTATCTATTCCAGCCTTATGTTGAAAGCATTTTAATTATTTTGTCAGGTAGTGTCACCTATTTAAAAAAAAAAATCTAACTTTTTATTTTGAATGTGGAAATGATTACTCATTAATCTTTAAGCAGAGTGCTGAAAGTCATTAAAATAGAACTGCATCAAACTACAAATACTTTTGACTTATGCCTGTATATATCAAACTACCAAAAGCCTATTAAAAGACCTGTCCTTTTTTCCCTTAAAATGTGAAAATTGTCATTGATTAGTGTCATTGTACAGCATGTTCCAGAACATAGGGGTACAATCAAGATAAGCAAGCTATAAGTCCCTGCAATTTATATTCTGATATATTTACAGGAGGCCCCTACTTACGTGGTACTCTAGGTTGTGCATCATCATGGTAAATGATTGCACACACATAGCTGTTGGAAAGCATAATTGGTTAAAAAGTGGAACCCAAGCTTTTTTAAAGCTTTCAAATGCATGTCGGCTGCTGAAAAGTAAAAAGAACACCACTGCTTTATAAGCTGTATGTGAGTGGTCTCAAGTGAGTCTCCAAGGTCATACAAGCTGATGAAAGAGCAACCCCTCTTCAAATAAGTGGAATGTCTGTAAATGTAAACTTTGGAAAAACAACTAATCAGAAAGAGAAGTGTCCAAAGGTGCGGGAAGTATGCATTTTGGGATTCAGCAAAAAAATACTGTTTAATTATAAAATACGAATTCATGAAAAACATAGAAATTAAATCTCAATTACTAACTTTAAAATAAATTTACAGCAAGTTTGTTTTTTAAGAAAATCTATTTATTAGATTTCCTTAAATCTAATGCTCACCTTTTTTTGGCTAAATTCTCTCCCCAAAATTAGGGTGCGAGGATTTGTGTGATACTGTAATCTTAGAGCTGAGCCCAAGCAAAATGAGAAACTGCTAAAGGAGCACCTGCAACTCCTATTTGAGAGACCTCACCTATAATGTGATGGCCATGGCTCAATGCTAAGGGATTCTGGGATTTGTAGTTTAGTGAAGCACCAGCATTCTTGGGCAGGGAAGGTTCAAGACATTGTAGAACTGTGGCCTCATAATTCCATAGCATGGAACCAAGGCAATTAAAGTGGATCCATTCTACAGATGTACCCAAGGTTTTCCTTTCCATTGCTAGAAGCTTTGCTGCTCGAACAATTTTGTTTTTTAAAGAAAAAAGGCTAAGCAGGCAGCAACTGTAATGTACATCTTTTTGGACCAAACTACAAAAAGTGCACTTTTTGCTGCTGCACATTACATAGCAGCAAGTGTGTTTTTGGATTTTGGGATTTTGAAAATTTGGGTGTGCATTAGATTGATGATGCCTTATACTCGAGTAAATATGGTATTTTGTTTAGAAAACACTAAGCGAACTACTAACTAGAGAAAGTGACTTAACGTGAATGCTGTTGTGCAATTGGATATTTTGTTGTTGTCGTCTTAATATTAAGGCTTTGTCTCTACAGACTCTGCCTGCTGCACTGAGGGCCCTCAAGGGAAAAGTAGCTCGACAGTGTTTGACACAGGAACTAAGCCTTCATGTTCAGCAAAATCGTGCAATATTGGATCATCAGCAGTTTGATTATATAGTGCGAATGATGAACTGTACTTTGCAGGTATTTAAAACTGTTTTCAGCTTATCATTCTTCTAAGTCAATTGGATAAGATAGTGCTGGGAAATAAGTAATTTGATTGCTTTTTATGTTTTTGCTTTATTTGAAGTTCAATAATTATTGGTTAACATATGGTCAAAAACCATATGTCAGTGCCTAACCCTTTCACTCTATGTGAAAGGTGTTTCTAGATGTTTTCCCACTCTTTGGAGCATGTTTTGAGAGAGTATAGGGCTGCAAAGCGAAAAGGGATTGCCTCCATCACAAGAAAGACCTTCTGGATACCAACCAAGAAAATGGTCATAGATTGCATTAATTATCCTTTGAGAATTTTAAGCTTTTTCTTTTATTTCCCCCATAAACACATATAAAAATCATAAAGTTGTTACTCCCATCTGCAGATTATTTCTCTTCCAGCTAACATTCATCTTATTGTTCGCTCCTTGCTCAGGTATAATTTTCTCTTTAGTTGTACATATTTTCATTTGTTTATTTACACCTATTTGCTTTCTGGCTCATGCTGGGTAGTGGCTATGGAATTTGTTGTGATGAATGACACTGCTCGCCATGCTGTGAACTTTTCAAATGTTCTGGCTTTGTGTTTTGTTTTGTTTTTGTTTTATTTTTCAGGCTGAGCACATCTGCTACACTTACATAACAACTATGTGCTATAACATTAAACAAAAATATTTAGCTGACATAAATTACTTCATGGTTGTACTTTTTGACCTGAGGGTATTTTTACAGTGCAGAAAGACATTGCAGTGTATGTATAATCTTGTCTTCAGGATTTTCATTTTCATACTGTGCATCCCAAAGTTATCTGACATCTCCTGTTTCATTATCTGCTACTCAAAAACAATGTTAACTTGGATTTGGGGTGGATAAATGTGGTCCATGGATAGCATGCAGCTCCTAAAGCTGCTCTCAAAGTCTCCAATTTCTAGCAATTAAAAAAATGAACTTTCCTTCCTAATTTAAAAAGACTCTCTCCTCGACAGGGACCCAGGAACTGGTTTGTTTGTTTGTTTTTCCCTGAGGGGAATACTTGAGACAAGCAAAAAGTAATCAGCAATATGAGTACTATGAGCACAAGTACAAGGTTATAACTGAAGCAATACAACATTGATTAAAGCATAAACTATAAGTACTCATTTATAAGACTAGATAAGACTAGATATTGTCACCAAAAATTACCTCCAAAACATAGGTGGACATTATCCACGAAACAGTTAAAGTACTGTACCTTCAGTCTAAATGAAAACAAGACATTGTCCCTTCTTCTGAGGAGAGTGGTGAAAGGTGAGAACCTAAAAGAAGCACTGACCCTTCTACTTGCTTGGTGTTGGGATGGACACCAAAGAGCTATCGCCACAATTTTCCCACCTAAGCATTCAAAAAAGTCAGAAATGGTACCATGACAGAGAGAGTAGAGGTAGTCAGTGCGTCTTTTAGATTCTTTCAAATGGCAGCAGCCAGGGGCAGCTGTTCTCCTAAGTCAACACTGATCCTATCAAAATCCATACTTTAGATCTTATTAATGGAGTGAATACATGATCATATATATAATATCTCAACACTGTTCCCTCCAGCACTCTGAAGGGAACATCTACAGGATTGTATATAGAACTCTTCTTTAAATAAAAAAAAAAAAGCAATACAAAATCAACCTCTTTGTCCCCAGGCCTGGTGGGAACATATACTGCCAAAAAAAAAGCAAATCACTTCTTCTTTGAAAATGGATTTAAAAATATTAAAAGAGTGAAAGGAAGCTCTGCAACATAATTAAAATATGAACCACTCATTTTTGAGGAATCTGGAAAGTGCAGATTTCACACACTTGTTGGTCAGAAAAAAATGGTAATCTGAAAGTTCTGCAGAAACAATTTTGAGGACTGCATGTAGCCTTTGTTAATTGTAGAAGGCTCCGCTATAAGAGCTGCTTGATTTTTTCCCCTGTCCATTACAATTTAACACCCTTCTGATAGTTCCTGAGAGAGCTCAACTACCTAGAAGTCTATGTGCTTGCCATAGATGCAGGCGAAGCGTCTGGAGAAATGCCTCTAGAACATGGTCCTATAGCCCGAAAAAACCCACAAGAACCTATGTGGTTTGATTTTGCCAGATCAAAGGGCTCAGCTTTGTTGCCTTCTGTTCTAAGGCCCACGCTTCTTAAGGAGCCCAAAACATAGCAAAATTACCCTTCTACAACACTTTGAGAATTATCATTGAGTTGTGTGTTAAAATTTTAAGATGTGTGCAATGAGTAGTAGTGTGTGTTGCAACCAGACCTCAGGTGGTTGCCAATCTCTACTAGTGCGCATATCCATCTATGCATGTCAAGACATGATCCAGTATCCCAAAAGGACATTATTATTTTAGCACAGCTAAAAACTAATGTTCACTGTGGCCATGTCTTTGGATCCCAAGCACTGGTTACTTTAGGACAGATACACAGAGCTGAAGAGACACTCAATTGATTTTGTTACTATTTTAATATGTTTGTCACTATTTTAATATGATACATTTTTATTTTATTGCTATTTGTTGATTTTATTTTAATGTGTTTGTTTTAATTTGTAATTTTCAGGCTTATTCCTTTGTAAGCCACCCCAAGTCCCCTCGGGGAGATGGAGGCGGGGTATAAAAATGAAATTCTTGTTGTTGTTGTTAGATTTTTCTAAATAACCAGCAAAACTGCATCTCCATTGAGCCTGTAATGCACTTAAAGCATTTTATCAACACTAACTATGATGATTTAAGGTATTGGGTACTTCTGATACCAAAATATTTGGTGAGGGTGGCAGTCATTATTTAATGGGTATAATTTGGGTTTATTGATAGTAATAAAACAGTGTAGTAAAAATGGGAGTTGCACATGTCTCTTGTCTACTAAACTATGATTCACAACCTCTTAAAATCAATCTTTGAATTATGGAACTGTGTTTGGACTATAAAAATTAATGTACTGTAACTGTATGGGGAGGAAAATTATAATCAAAGTACATATTTTAAAAAATGTGTAAAGATAGCTTTGGAGCATTTGCAAAATAAGAGGACACTTCAATGCAAGCTACATAAAATGCAAGCTAATCTAAAATTCAAGTTTTAAAAATGCAATGCCAAATTACATTTCCTCCAGTGTATAATTTGTAACTGAAATTTATTCTAATTCATTCATTTTAATCTTTGGCTCATCTGAGCATAATAGTAAATACCTTTATGATACCATTCTCAAATGGTATTATAGCTGACATATCCATAACATGTCATTTTGTTTGTTTTGATTTTAAAGATTCTTACAAAGTGTCCTTTCAGTTAAAAAGCCAAGATTTTTCAGAAGTGTCCATAACTTGCTGTAAATCATGAATACCACAATTAAAAACCAAACCTCCAGATCTATGTTGCTTGAATTTGCTTCTAAGCTCCAGATAACGTCTCAGTAGATTTCAGACTCTCCTGAAATGGGCTGTTGTAAGTTTTTTGGACTGTATGGCCATGTTCTATGTTTTGGAACATGGCCACACAGCTCGAAAAACTTACAACAACCCAGTGATTCCAGCCATGAAAGCCTTCGACAATCTTCTGAAATAGTTTGGATTTTACTGGAATCTGGGCTATGTCCTGCGAACTGCAAATTTATTTTAGCTACAGATTCAGTGTTACCCATTGATGCAAGTTCTCACATGAAATGTTAACTGTAAGAATTTATACCTATCCTAGAAATATGTAGGAGTCACACAGAGAGGTCAGAAGTAACCAGTAAAAAATCCCATTTGGCAGATGAAGGATATTGCATCTTGGACATATTTGGTCAAAATTAGACCAATTCCCTTATGATGAACTATTATGATTATTTTTTTTAAATAATGGTTCACCATCACAGGATTGAAAGGGTTGCTCTGAAGCAAATTTACACTTGACCAAACTGCCCAGTATAGATGAACTCCTGGTCATCATGGCCAGTGTGAGTTGTAATCCAAGAACTACCTTCCCAACTTCTGTTAATGACCCTTTTCAAGGTTCCTTCCTCCCATCCATTATTTTTAAGTGGGTTTAAGCTGGACAGCTCTTTAAATAGAGGACTTACCATTTAGAGTTCCTCAGATCATGGCTTCCCTAAGGTCTATTTAAGGTCTTTTCAAGAAGTGATGGTATTAATTCCTTGGCATTTAGGTTGTGTATTCCTTCAGGAGCAGAGGTCTTACATACTGCCTTATTGAGGCTAACCTATGTGTGATGACCTTCCACATAATGGGATTGATATAAAGCTGCTTTGGATGAATTAATATGGAAAAGAACTGGTGAAATTCATTATTTATTTCTATGGAATTTGGGACTGATTTCAGTCTTCATAACATTCAATAGAACTCATCAACTGATCAAGACGATACCAGGGCCACCATGATCTTTGTCAACTTTATCAGTTCTGTCTGTCCAGAATTATATGTTAGCTTGCACCTCTATCTTACCATGGGAGCGATATAGTATCGCTCCTATGTTATTCTCGCAACACACTTATGAGGCAGATTGGTTTAAGTGATGGTTCTGGACATATGGTCACAAGTAAGTTTCATGAACTATTCTAACACATTATATATAGAATTTGAAGAGTATTAGGAAATGTGAATCAATAAAGGAACCATGGTGTTTAAGACCAAATTGACCTGGCTTCACTAACAGATTGCCCTGTTACTCTACTCATCAGCATTGGAGCCTTACTCCATGTCTCCTGTACCCCAAGTGGGTGTGCACTTGGGAAGACTCTTTCCCCGAAAGCTTAATGGTTTTACTTTCTTCTGGCCTTTCAGCAAATGTTAAAGACCTATTTCTCTCAGAAGGCATATGTTAATATAAGTATCTGTGTTCCACTTCAATTTGTGTAATCTGCAATTTATTGTCTTGTCATTTGTAAAGCTTTGCGCTTCTTTTCATTATTTTTATTTCTGTAAATTTACATGATATATTGCATTTTCTAAAATTAATTTTGGTACCATCCTGGG